GCTCTGGTTCTCGGCCTCCCGGCCGCGTCTGCTGCGCCTGCGCCGCCCGAGCCCGAGGGGAGGAGGCGAGGCAGGGTGGACCCTTCCTCGCTGGGAGCGCAGGAACGCCCTCGGAGAGAAGCGGGGGTCGCGAGATGCTACCCTAAGAAAGGAAGGAGTGCAGGGGAGCAGCTGGCCGGGAGGCTGGAGCGGGGGAGGCTGAGCCAGTCACTCGCGGGTTGCTGGAGGAAGTGCCCAAGTTTACATCACGTGCCTAATAAACAACTCGCTGACCTCAGGTCACTTACTCCAATGTTTGCTTGTATATTAGGCTTACTTTTGTTCCTACTGGGGTTCTAACAGCAGAAATTATAGAGGGCAGGATGTTGAGGTGTAGGAAGGTCTCAGGGTATTGTGTCATGAAAACCATTTGGTTTTGTCCTTGTGTGTGTCTTTAAGTATCGGGGGAGATTATCAACTGGCCAATTTTCATTCATACCTATGAGTCTGCCCATCTTGTTCGTCACCCAAAAGGGTAAACAATACAGATTAAAGTTGTAACACAATGACCTGTATCTACTTCTCGTTATGGTGTAAACCGGACCAAACAAACGGCAGAAGCTGGGGAAAGGGGTGTCTGTGCATCCCTTAACCAGACAGACAGACATTTGTTTGTTCTGATGTTCAAGTCCAGAACCCTGACAGCTGTCTGTGTCCTTGAAAACTACAGTCAAGCAATTAGGCATATCTAGCTCGGGAAATGAGTCACAGGGAACGCCTTCAAGGGACACTGCCTGAGGTTCGTATTTCCAGGCAGCCAGGAAAACCAGCTGGGGTGACCAAAGGGACCAGCGAGGTAGAGGAGCGGGCAAACCCGTCCCGGGTTCCCCGCAATCGCGAGTCCCACTGAGTAAGGGAAAGCCAGGGAGGAAAGGGAGGATCCGCCTAGAGAAGGAGGGTCGGAGCAGAAACAAAGCTAAGGGTGGGAGAAAGAGGCAACACGGTCCAGACCACGTGCTCGGCGTCTTTCTGTAACCTAAGAGCAAAACAAACTGGCGTGGCCACGCCCTGCGCGGTCACGTGACTCCGGGAGCGCCGGTTCCGGCGGAGACGGAATCCTTCCTGTGTGCAGGCCCCTTATCCCGGCGGTACCTCTGACCCGTTGCTAGCTCCATCACTGGCGCGGTAACCATGGCAACGGACTGCAAGGGGCGCGGGCCCGGGACCCCGGCCCAGAGAGCTGTCGGGAAGGAAGGTAGGTGCGGGTCTGGGACTCCGGGTTGCCTCGGTGGTGCCAACCCGCATCAGTTCCATCCCAAGTCTCCCGCTGTGCGTTAAGTGACTTGTTTTAGTGATTGTGACTTCTTACATCGTGCCATTCCGTTGTCTGATCCTATGTAGTCTCTGTGTTCCTTTGGGGGGGCGGGGGACGACGACAAGGACCGCTGTGGAGGTCAGAGAACAACTTGTGGGAGTAAGAAGTTGATCTGAGTACTCCAGCCTAGCTGGCCTTTGAGGGCGCTTTGTGGTGATTCTCCTGTCTCTGTCTCCAGGATAACTGTTGGGATTACAGATGTGTGCAACCATAGTTTCTGAGTTCGCCGAACTTGTGCACCAGATGTTTTTACTTGCCAACCCTGAGATGTCTCCTAACCCAAATCAGTCTTTTGTTTACCTAAACCTCTAGTTTATCTTCCTGATATGTGTCTTCTGTCCTATTTTATGGCACTCCTTTCTCGACACCATCATTCATCAGCAAAAGTGACATTTCCTTACTGAAAATTCTTTAATCATTTGTATTGTATTTGAAACCTAGAATAAAATCCAAGCTCAAAACCATGACCAAAAAAACAAAAAAACAATGATTTTGAGGTCTGTTGCTGTCTCTAAGCAGCATCACTTCTGTTTGTTTGTTCTTTGATTAAAGTAAAAATTTTAATTAGCCACAAAATGTAACAGGATTTCTTATGGCATTTTCGTACCTACTCAACTTTGTTGACTCCCCTTTCCATCATACTTATTTCACCCGTCTCCCAACCTCTTCTCCATCGTAGTAATTTGCACCGTTGCATCCCCTGAGTGCCCCTTCTAATATCATACCTTTCTTCTGCCCCCTCCCTTCCCTTCCCTAATGCCCCCCCCTTTATGGATCCCGTCTAGTTCTCTGGCTTCTATCCACACTCCTCATATATATTGGAAGCTAAGAGCTGCATTTGATATAATTTCAAGTCCCAACCATTTTCTTAGTTTTTTCTTTATGGCTGAATAAAAAATCATATATACGTGTGTGTGTGTGTGTGTGTGTGTGTGTGTGTGTGTATGAGAGAGAGAGAGAAAGAGAGAGAGAGAGAGAGAGAGAGAGAGAGAGAGATCAATTCATGGACATCTAGGCTGAGTCCATTTCCTCCATGTTGTAAATACAGCAGCATTGAACATGCATGTGCAGCCAGCCCTGTATTAGGATAGGAATGGTACAGAGGGATCATCTGGTAGTTCTGTTTCGGCATTTTGAGAAGCCTCCACACTGATTTTCAAGTGGCTGCCTCAGTGTACACACCTACCAACAGTGAGTAAGGGATGAGATGGAATCTCAGAGTGGTTATAATTTGTGTTTCTCTGATGGCTTAGGTTATTGAATACTTTATAAAATATTAATGGGCCAGGTCTAAAAACCAGATAGAATTACATCTAACAAAATGACTGAATGATAGACATACACCTGTAATCCAGCATGAGGGCGAAAGTGCCATGACTGAGTTCACTAAAGGCTTGAGCTACACAGCCAGACTCTGGCTAAAAAAGCAAACAAAAAAACAAAAACCAAAAAACAAAACAAAAAAAAGCAAACAAAACACCAGATTAGTAAGCGGATCTCTGTGAGTTTGAGGCCAGCCTGGTCTCCAGGGCGAGTGCCAGGATGGACTCCAAAGCTACACAGAGAAACCCTGTCTCAAAAAAAAAAAATAAATAAATAAGGGGAGCAGGGCTGGAGAGATGGCTCAGAGGTTAAGAGCACTGACTGCTCTTCCAGAGGTCCTGAGTTCAATTCCCAGCATCCACATGGTGGCTCACAACCATCTATAATAAGATCTGGTGCCCTCTTCTGACCTGCAGGCAGAATATTGTATACATAATAAATAAAAAAATTTAAAAAAACTTAAAAAGTTCTCCTAAAAAGCTAACATAAACCAGGAGCCCAGGTGGCACACACCTTTAATCCCAGCACTCTGGAGGCAGAGCAGGAGGATTTCTGTGAGTTCAAGGTCAGCCTAGTATATAAAGTGAGTTCCAAGACAGTCACAGTGAGATCCTGTCTCAAAAAATAAAAACAGAATATCAATAGACATAAACCCTTCGTGCCAATGAAGACTAAAGACACAAACTCTTCTTGGAGTATGCAAAGTGGAAGCAAGCTTAATTAGGAGAAATTACAGAAAAGTGAGAAATTTAGGAGACGTGAGAAACTCCTGAGAGTGGGATGGATTTCCAAGAGAGGAAAACCTGTTGAACTTCTTTGTCTAGGGTTTTTTATAAGGCCATGGCCGTAACTAGACAAAGGCTGAGATTGGTTAGTTCTCAGCCTATCATGGGCTGAACCAGTGGAGAACCTGCACACTCCAGGCATGCCCCTGACCTAACCAGGTGATGATCCTGCTGTTCATGCTGCCCACTCAGTTAGGGATGCTTGAAACCCTGTTATCTTTGATTTGTTTGTTTGTTTTTGTTTTTTTTTTTGTTTTGTTTTGTTTTGTTTTCAAGACAGGGTTTCTCTGTGGCTTTGGAGGCTGACCTGGCTCTTGTAGACCAGGTTGGTCTCGAACTCACAGATATCCACCTGCCTCTGCCTCCCAAGTACTGGGATTAAAGGCATGTGCTACCACCGCCCGGCGATTCTGGCTTTGTTAGTGGTTGGCCTTGACTGCTAGCTAGCTGTTAGGTAAACTACCTTCTGATATTGCAAGTATGCTGGTAATGATGTACACAAAGCTCTTTGTTCTCAAGGATAAACGGATACCAAGAAGTAGCTGCATTTGTGCTAAGTCAACTACTTGGCTTGTGGGATGGTCTGGATGGGGGCTGCTTGTTAGAAGATACCCTCACAGTTTAGTCTGTTACCATTAGTGGCTTTAGAAGTGAGAATATAAGAAAGGACAATCATGTCACATGTGTGTCCCTCAAGGGCTTGGCTATATCATGTTCAGCTCCAGGTCCTCTTAATTAACTTCCTCAGCCCTTCAGACCTTGCTGTCTTAACCCTTAATGTTTCACTTAATCCAAGCCTTTGTTCTCACTGCAACATATGTGAGCAACTTGCAGTTTTCATGGAGGTAGTGACAGACGCAAAAGGAGGAAATTGTATCTGTCTAGAGGAAAAGCAGAGTGAAGGGTGAGGGGGAAGTCATGGGTTTCGGGCTTCTCAGAAAAACAGTGAAACACCACAAAAATGAGGATGCGGAGAAGGTTTGGGGGCTCTGTGAGCAAAGCTTGGAATGGTTGCTCGAAGGTCTAGCTGGAGTGCAACTGAGCAGGTGAAGTGACCCGGTGCCAGTTGGGTGAGCATGAAACCGGAACTGATCCTTGTTTGAGACTGTTTCTGGTTATGCTTAATGGAGCGTTCGTTCATTCTTCAAAAGGTTTATAAATTTGACCACTTTCAACACTTCTGTGAGGGGAATCACATAACAAAGTAGCGTTGTGGAGCGTTGTGGCAGCTTGTTAAGGTTAATGTTATGTCTTTCATTTTTCATCAGGCTAAGTAGCACACTCAATAGTGAGCATCAGGGTAGCTCCCACCACTTAGCTGTTACAGTAGTGCTTCTGGAAGCATGGGTGCAAATGTCTCTTTTCGATCTTACTATGGACTATCTTTAATTTGAAAAAAAAAAAGGCAAAAACGAAATAATCAATTTACTTTCAGTCGTAGAAAATCTACGATCTGGAGTCAGATCAAAATATTTTGTAGAAATTTTGAAGATACTTTGAAGCATTTGGAAAGAGCATTAGTATTTGAGATTCCATTC